TTGTGAAAAATTGGAGATATGCTTATTTTCAATGGATGGATGATGTCCAACACTGGATACTTGTGGTTATAACATTGAAGGTGGCACAATTCAAGAAGATGTTCAATGGCGACCAAGATGATCAATAAGTTATATATGGAGTATGTTGTTGCTACATTAATTATTAAGTTAGTTGGACAACATCATATTACAGGTAATAGTGTCGAGTCCAACTTTGAATGACCCAACATTGAATCAGTCAATTTTAAATGAACACATTAGTATTAGAGTTTGTAAAATTTTGAATAATATAACATAGGTTGTAATTCTATGGGTTTCACAAAAATAAAAATTCATAAATTCTGATAGATAATAGAGAATTCTACACAAGGTTTTTAAATTGCATGGATTTCTATATTTTTAGTTTTGTTTTAAAAAAGAAAAAAAAAAGAAAGGAAAAGTAAAGCAAGAGATGTAAAATTGAGATAGGAAGAAAGGCTTAGCTGAGTAAATAATAATAACCAAAATAAAGTCCTTACATATTTATAGTCAAAGTTTAAAACTTTCAATCACACACAATCAAACTATTTAATTGAGTATCCAATATAATGCAACTCTTACATAAAATTCTCATGTCATCAATATTTTTTAAAATACATTTTCACATTGCATAAAGCATATGAACTATAGACTCATAAAACATTGTCGAATCTAAATAATAAACAAAAAGTGAAACACAATTAATCATTTATTATTTTTAAATTTATACCAGTAGCCTCCATGTATAAAAGGCCTAAAAGCTAAAACATACAATGCAAAAATACTAAGATAAACTTCAAGAATAAAAAAATATCCAAAAAATGATAAGGATTAATGCCTCCAACTGCAACCTCAATATTTTGGATTGCCTTTCTCTTAACAAATCATCTTCAAATAAAATCACTAAAAATATATATATCTAAATGAAAAATATATATAAATAATTTTAATCTTTTCATTTGAAATATAATGTTAGCATATTTTTGTAATACAAAATTAAAATAAAAAGATGGTACTTTTGTAACCAAATCTTGAGTCTCCTTCATCTTATACACTTATGAATGTGCAAATGTCACCACAATAGTTATGAAGTTATGAAATAATTAACATGTTTTAATCTAAAAAATGAATTATATTAAAAAAATTATACAATTAAAGCTAAAAAAACCTATGAGATAAAATTGTAGGCCTCTATTATGTATATGATAAAATAATATATATGTAGTCAAATTATATAGTAAATCCAAGATAATATCCTTTAAATAAAGGACTCTCATTTTCATTCTCATTTGTATTACTTATAAAACAGTTTGAAATTTAAGTTTAAAAATTTTAAATTCAAATTTTTACACAAAATAAGAGGATGAAAAAAGATTTAGAAAATGAAAAATAATTATTTCCTTTTGTATTGAAGGGAAAGATGAAGAAGAAAATAATTGAAGAAGCCAAAAAGATAAATACAATTACCGTCCTCGCAAGAATGGATCGATATGAAAAAAGAGAAACTGTGCGATCGGACGCCCACGGCACTGAACGAGGGCCAAAAAGAATCAAGAATGCTGTATCCAAATTTCTTGGCCAACGAGGTCCGATCGGCACTCTAACAGACTCACCATGCGACCAAGCCATCGTCCGGTGCCGCCCAGCCCTTCCTCCAGACGGTGATGACATGAACCGCAACGGGAAAAGAAAGGAAGCGGAGATAAAGTTTTTGGAAATCGATCGAGGAGGAGACGAGAGGAAACGCATTTTGCGATATAAAGGCTAAATTACATTTACACCCTTCCTAAACTTTAAACCTTCGGATTCGAACCTGGCCCATAGGGTGTGTAGAAAATGAAAGGAGCACTCACCCGGCGGAGGTTCAAGGGCCCGATGACAACAAGCTTTGGTCTGGCCCAATTCAATAACATTTTGATTTGGACTTGGGAATTGGGCCTAATGGTCCTCCATTAAAATTTGACAGTTGAGCAAGTTGGGGCCGGGCGCATGCAGTACAGATTGGATACCTTCCCCGTAAATCCCAATCTCCATGTATTAGATCTGAATCACCGTTATGATGCTGACTTTTAGTTTTTGGGGTGAGAGAAATATGGAATCTTTCCATTAATGGAAAGAAACACGCGGTGGTTCAATTATCAATGCAGCCACTATTTCTATTTTTGGTGCTTCTTTGCTTCTGTCGCTTTCTGCACACCGACACATCTTAATGGTCATTTTTTTATATTTTCATATTCTCATTTTAATTATTTTCTTTCGCTTCATTTTTAATTTTTAATTACAACTGTTTGGTTAATGGTTAACTTAAATGATGTAGCTCTTTGATTTAAAATTTGTTGAGACAGATATGAGCTGCTACCAAAATGAATACTGTAATTATTAAGGTTCTATTTAATTTATGACATCTATGTAGTTAAGTTTTTACTTTTATTTTTTTGTTAATAACATAAATAATGCAATAATAATCACATTTCTTTGAGAGTAAAAAGTTTTAAATTTAATTGTATAATATGTGAATAAGATAGGGTGAGATAAGATAAGATAAGATATAAGAAAAAGTTACTTTTTATTGTACAACTAAAAAAATAAGTCTTTATTTTATTTTACTCTTTTTGACAAGTGCTATAAGCAATTATATGCATCTATATATAACATAAAGTTGGAAGCTCTAAAAACAAAATGCATTATCGGAAATAATTAAATTGGTTGGTACTACTATAAACATACTAATTATAATGACCAACCAAATTCATTATATATATACATATATGTTTTTTTTTTCTTGGAGATAAATTTTGATATGAGGGGTTCAAGCAAAAAGTGCCAAAAGCAGTGGGAAAGGAGGAAGGAAAAAAAAAAAAAAAAGGAAGGTTTATTTCAGGAAAATATCTTTGGGAAATGTGGAAGTTTGAATCTTGACACATTGACAATTTATTAAAAGATACATTCGTCTTTATTGATCAACTGGGTGTATAGAAATCGATGTTGCGCAATTGACAGTGATGGAGGAGACCCTCAGCTCAACATGTTAAGTGTGATGCAAAGCATATATATTTATTTAAAAATGTTATGCTTATAATATTATATTATAATATAAATTTATAATTATAATATATTATTATATAATTAATTTTTTTTATTTAAAAAGTTTATACTGTTATTTGTATTTATTCATTTAATATTGTATTATTATTATAAATTTATAATCTTACTTGGCACTTTAAATTTGTCATTTTTTATATTTATATGCCCTAAGGTTATTAAAGCATATAAAATCTCTGCATGTATGTCCAGCAATCCGTATCCCAGTCGTCGAACGCCTCACGCCTTTGTGTGGCTGCTTGGACACCCAAGTATTGGGTTCTACACCCTGGCCCTGCATTTTCCTTTCCCAAAGATTTATCTTGACGAAAGAAAATAAAATAAGTATAAACACATGAAGTAAAAAATTTTAAATTTAAATTATACAATATATTGGTAAGATGAGTTAAGAAATGAGAGAGGTTTGATTTTTATTGTATAATTTAAAATAAAAAAAATGATTATAATGGTTATGATTATGGTCACTTATCAAAATATCAAGGTTACACAAATTTTTAAGTATTGTATTTTAAAATATAACTCTATTTATTTAATTTAGCTATTAAAAGTAATTGACAATAATTATTAGTTGATAAATTAAAAAAATATAATATTTATAATTTAACAAATTAAAATAAGTTTATACATTGATAGACTCAAATAAAAAATAATTAATAAACTCTTCGATTCAATGTATTCATCATTACTTATCGATTTAATTATTAAATTTTATAATTTTAAGGTTTCTTACTTTTAATTTAAATTTAAAAATAATAATTTTTTAATAAATATATTAAATTAAAAAATACACTAACTATTATCTTTCTAAAACACCATAATTGATTATTTACCAAAAAAACATTAATACCTGTATGATCATAACAATTTGTTAGTGTGTGGCTATAATACACATCCAAGTACCAGCACTGCGAACACTTTCAAGTTTCAATAATTAATGTATATATCTTACGGATATTATGAAGTGTTGATATTTTCCAAAATGGCTGGTAACAAAATGAGTAAAAGAGAAAGGAGAAAAACTGCCGTAGTACCCTTTAGAAATGAAAGGCTGCCGTAGTACCCTTTAGAAATGAAAGGCTGCCGTAGTACCCTTTAGAAATGAAAGGCACTCGAAGACAAATTAAGGCTCTTTGCTTGGACCAAAAATTTGACAAAGACTCCTCCAATGATTTAGCAATTAATCAAGGTATCCAAATTATTGAGTTCACTTTGGAAACGAAAAATGTCTCTTATTTGATTAGGATGGGAGCAGAAAATTAAGTACACACACCCACCTTGACTACA